TATGAGAGAATCAGCCGCCTACAAAGAAGTTGCCCAGGGAATATCCAGATGTATTGCGATCCTGCAAGGAGGCTTCTCTTATGTCTCCCCACACTGGAGAAATTATACTGTTTAGCCAGTATTGCACCACCTGACATCTGCCGGGAAGTAGCAGCTAATAATGAAAGGACCAAGACAGTGACATCTCCAGCCCATTCTCTGTTTGGTTATCAGCCAGCACACCAATGGCTTAAATCAAGAAATAGCTTCTTAAGATCTACTCACAGGAACACCTCAGCAAGCGAGAATCCAAAAGTGGCAGGCTAAAACCCGGAACCTCAATCAGTGGCTGATACATAATGAGAGACTCCCCCAGTCACACAGAAAACTGGACAACTTGGAAGACATTAAACAGACCGGGCTTCAGAAATGGGACTACAAAGTGGAATCCATGTGAGTGTGGAGAGGAGCAAACCATAGCCAACTTACTACAGTGCAGTCAGAGCACTGCCACATGCACAGTGGAGAACCTTCTTGCAGCCACATTGGAGGTACTCTGAGTTGCCAGCTTCTGGTCAAAGGACATTTAGTATAATGCCAAGTTTTTAAACTTTGTTTGTGCTTTTAAATATATTATAACTGTACCCTCAATTCGCTTCTGACATGATAAATAAAATAAATACTGAGTTGCACAGGCTCAGTATATTAGCCTTTGGTGTCCCTAGTTCTAGAAGGTGGAAGAGCTCTGTGTAGGATTTCCTGTTCCTTAGGTAGACTGAATCTTAGCACACTGCTATTCAGGGACGTGGGGGGAGCAGGCAATAAGAGAGTGAGAAGCATGTTGTTCTCTTAACTGGGCGGAGGCGAACTGTAAGTAGCCTTATGGCTCTGTCTGTCTAGCTTTTGCAAGGATTTGTAGAAGAAAATACTCCCCTCTGTAACTCTTATATTTCCCATTCTAAGGGATGGCTTGTGTTAATACAGATTAGTAAATAATGTGCCATCATATGTACAAGGAAGTTGCCATTGCGGCTAACTCCCTGGTGCTTTTTACACTGGCAGGATAAGCAGATGTTTGCCTGCCTGTGTTGCATTGTAAAGGGAACACCATAAAAGAAAACATGTTACAGCAGAGTGTTTCTGGGATTACCCAGAGTGACACTAAGATTCTCACATTTTAAAAAGCCCAGGTCATTTCTAATTTAAACCACAGCTTTCTATTTTAGGGAGGCTTTGAGAAGTCAAGAATATCCCCCAAGCAAAATATCAAAGATAGTCATTATAATGCTTGGAGTGTTCTAGGATTTTATATCCTTGCATGCTGGACATGGACAGTGCTGAATTGTAGTTAATATTTCTTTAAAAAAAATTAAAACTTGAAATTTCAAACTCAAATTGAAAGACTTAAATGTGATTTTTAATTGGAATGATACAAAAATAATCATCCTGAGTTGTACATAGCAAGAAAGAAGCATCTCTCAGCCTAATCTTACATTTAGCAGAGTTCATTGAGGCCTAAGCTAGTGATAAGTTAATCACAGCCAGATAACTTGAGCAGCAGTCGGAACAGTTTAATAATAATAATAATAATAATAATAATAATAATAATAATAATCTGTTGGAGTTGTGAACCGGACGCAAGCAGAGCTGGATGATCTGGACAGAAAAACAAGAAAACTGATGACAATCGGCTATGCATTACATCTGCATAGTGATGTCGACAGACCTTACCTGCACAGAAAATCAGGAGGCAGGGGGCTTCTGCAAGTAAAACAAACAGTAGAAGAAGAGAAACATGCACTGGTAGATTATGTGAAAGGCAGTCAAGAACCAACATTGAGGGAAGTCAATAGTAGTAAATTGCTTAAAGTGCAAAAGACAAAGAGTGGATACCGTAAAAACACAATCCACTGGAGAAAGAAGGCTCTCCATGGACAGTTCCTAGGAAAAATTGAGAGCCAAATTGACAAGGAAAAACATGGCTGTGGCTCACAAATGGAACTTTGAAAAAGTAGACGGAGGGCCTGATTCTGGCAGCCCGGAAACAAGCCATTAGAACAAATGTCATCAAAGCCAGAATTGAAAAGTCGACAACAGATCCCAAGTATAGACTCTGCTAGGAAGCAGATGAAACAATAGATCACATCCGCAGCTGCTTCAAGAAGATTTCAAGCAGACAGACTACAAGCAGAGGCATAACACCGTTGCTCAGATGATTCATTGGAACTTGTGCCACAAATACCATCTGCTTGCAACAACTAACTGGTGAGATCACAAGCCGGAAAAAGTTACAGAAAATGAGCACATCAAACTCTTCTGGGACTTCTGAATTCAGACTGACAGAGTTTTGGAGCACAATACTCCTGACCTCACAATCGTGTTAAAAAACAAAGTATGGATTGTCAATGTTGCAATCCCAGGCTACAGCAGGATTGAAGAAAAACAACTGGAAAAGCTGACACGCTATAAGGATTTAAAGATCGAACTGCAAAGACAGTGGCACAAGCCAGTCAAGGTGGTACTAGTGGTGATTGGCACACTGGGTGCAGTGCCTAAAGACCTTGGCCTGCACTTAAACACAATTGGCACTGACAAAATCATCATCTGCCAGCTGAAAAAGGCCACCTTACTGGGATCTGCATGCATTATTCGCCGATACATCACACAGTCCTAGACACTTGGGAAGTGTCCAACATGTGATCCAATGCAACAACCAGCAGAGTCATCTTGTGTCCTGTAGAGTCATCTTGTTCTGTTTCAAATAATAATAAAATAATAATAATAATTATTATTTATTTATATTCCACCCTGTCTCCTTGAGAAGACTCAGGGAAGATTCCAGCATACACAACACAAGGAAAACATTCAATGTCTAGAAACACAGAATAAGGTAAAGGCTTCATCTTCTGGCTCTTGAAGGGTGGTGCTCATTTCCATTTCTAAGCCAAAGAGCCTGTGTGGTCCATAGACACCTCCTACGTCATGTGGCTGGCATGACTGCATGGAGCGCCGTTTACCTTCCCATCGAGGCAATACCTATTGATCTACTCACATTTGCATGTTTTCAAACTGATGGGTTGGCGGAAGCTGGGGCTAACAGTAGGAGCTCACCCCATCCCATGAATTCAGACCTTATAGTCAGCAAGTTTAGCAGCTCAGTGGTTTAACCCATTGCGCCACTCGTGGCCTCTTAGTATTACACAAAAGGCCACAGAAATTTAGGACACATCACCACATGTCACATTGTTTTTGTTCTTTTTTTGGAGTTTGTCAGCCTATGGCCTGTGCAGAGATCATAATGGCGTGCCTTGATTTCCAATCGGACATGTATGAATCAGAAGTCCATAGCTGAACACAGCAATGTGCCACAGAAAGTTCTACTATTAGACAGGAAAGAAATACTTATTCTTAAACTGAAAACTGGATCTAGTTTTTATTTTTGTTATTCAGCCTCTCCACACAGTGCTAAATAGAGCCTAGAGTGCAGAGATGATAGCACAGACCTGAAAAAATCATTGGAATGAGAATATAATTAAAATTGATGACAATGTCAGCAAGAATGATGGCATTTCATCCCAGTTCCCCACTGCACCAAAACCTTCCCTCCCCAAAAACATGTACCAAATTTGAGATGATACAGATGGGAAGAATATGCGGCTTCTTTACACTTGACGCAACCTGGAAGTCATTTGGAAGTCTATTGCGGTTTCATCTGTATCCTTTCTTATTAAACTGCTGTTTGTGCAGGAGAACTCCCAGAGCTTTGCTTTTGAACTACAAACATAACAGGAAGGATGTGGTGAATAGCATAGGATGCTGAAATTGAGGGGCAGGAAGGCAGCCACTTTGAGAGAGAGAGCCCTTGGACAAAAGACCCCGAGGCAGCAATGATGATGTTAAGAGGTTGCTGGGGAATCTGGTTCTCCTTGGGAGCTTTCTGCTTTCAGTAGAGTAAACTCTCATAGAGCTCTGCATGTTTTATAGTAGGTCACAAAGGGCTTAGTAGTCTCAATTGCCAAATATATTCACAAAAGAGTTTTTTAAAACAACATTCCCTTATTTGTGTGAAGGAGTAGACTGAGGATTGTATGTGTGTATAAATATTATGAGTTCATTTTTGACATATAAAATGCACAATTAGGATGCATATGTGAACACTGACACTTTGTTATTTCATTTTAAATATGTTTCTGAAATTTACCCAATTCTACCATATCTGGATTATCAAATCAGAGTGAATTTTGAGTAGAGATTTATAATGATTAAGTGAGATTAGATTAATGAGATTTTCCTGAAAGTAGTGATGGGCTAATTTCCAAAGCCTGGGAGGATATAATGCTGGAGTTGCAGTTATTCGTGTTGGCGCTTCTCGTCTTATGACTTTTACGACTAGTAATATACTTATATTCCATATTTCACCTAAAATCAAGCATAAAAGGTAAAGATTTCCCCTTGACATTAAGTCTAGTCGAGTCCGACTCTGGGGTGTGGTGCTTGTTTCCATTTCTATGCTGAAGAGCTGGCGTTGTCCATAGACACCTCCTAGGCCATGTGGCCAGCATGACTGTATGGCGCACTGTTTGCCTTCTTGCTGGATCTACTCACATTTGCATGTTTTCAAACTACTAGGTTGGCAGAAGCTGGGGCTAGCAGTGGGAGCTCACGACCTTTTGGTCAGCAAGTTCTGCAGCTCAGCAGTTTAATCTGCTGTGCCACTGGGGCCCAAAACTCAAGCATACACTAGTGTAATATATTGGTAATTTTTATTAAATACAATAACATAAACCAGTTGTTTTTCTTCTTCTTGATATATATATATGTATGCATATGTATATGTATATGTATATGCATGTGATGTATCTACTCAGTTTCATCATACTTACTTACTGTACTATAAGTGCCCTATTTAACTTACTACATAGAGTCTTTTTAAGTTGTATTAAGCTTTGTTGTTTGGTTCCGTATGGTGATATGGCCTAAGGGCTAATCCATAACATTTATTTATTTATTCTTCTTTCTAGTTGCTTTCCTGTCGAAGCCACAGGATCCTGTAACGCCAAAGAAGGAAGGAAATGGGAGAAAAAGAAGGAAGGGGAAAGGGAGAAAGAGAGACCCCTGTTTGCGAAAGTACAGAGATTATTGTTTTCATGGAGAGTGCAAATACATCAAAGCTCTAAAAGCTCCATCTTGCATGTAAGTCTATCACAGCACTTCTATCGTAAGACAGTTTCTGCATATTTAAAATTATTTCTTTGAATATTCTTTTTATGTGAATACCAGGAACAGGTAATCCTTCTACACTTGCTCATGAAATGGAAATCCAAATGTGTCAAAAGCTTCTTTCTAATTAAAAAAACTAGGGTGTATGTGCACCATGGTTCTAGACCAGTGGTTCTCAACCTGTGGGTCCCCAGGTATTTTGGCTTACAACTTCCAGAAATCCCAACCAGTTTACCAGATGTTAGGATTTCTGAGAGTTGAAGGGCAAAACATTTGGGGACCCACAGGTTGAGAACCACTGTTCTAGACAGAGGGACGGGGTCAGTGTTTCAGCATCTAAGGGCTTTTCCAGACAGGTCCTATATCCCAGGATCTGATCCCAGGTTTTCTATTTATCACAGATTATCTGGCAGTATGGACTCTTATAATCCAGTTTAAAGCAGAAAATCTGGGATCAGATCCTGGGATATAGGGCCTGTCTGGAAGAGCCCTAAATGAAAGGCAACAGAAAAGGTGGGGATACACCACTTACACAGTAATTACACAGTAAAGTCTATAGTATAATCATATATATTGTTTTTAATGTATAATAATCACCCAATAAGTGGTTATCGAATTACAGCTTCGCTGTGTTGCTGAGCTATAGTGTGGCAGTACTTGGCCCTCAAAGTAAAATGGGGAAATGAACATTTTAAGAAGTTCACTGAAGGACATGGCTGTTGCGAGGAGTGAAGGAAAAATTGTCACATACTCTTCATTGATGAAATACTTCCTTTATGTCAAAGCCCTCCCCTCCACTCCCAATTCCTTGAAACATAGGTCCTGGCACTAAAACATAACGATACGCCTCTTTGCATTCTAGGCTTTCTGTTCTAATGCCAGGGTGCCTCCTCGGAGTCATTTGGTGGCCAGAGGATGATGATGGTCAGGCAGTGAGGTCATCCACCAGAGGACTGCCCAAGCTGCCCAAGCTGGTTGCTGACGCACAACCAGCTGCTGCTACATCCATGGATCCCTAGCCACCCAATGCCTGGGGGGAGCACCTTGGCAACAGAACCATAAATTAAGGGTGTGGTAGGGTTGTTGTGGGTCAGTGCTAAATATTGTTCCTTGCACCATCCTTATATTATATTATATTATATTATATTATATTATATTATATTATATTATATTATATTATATTATATTATATTATATGGTTTGGGGGATGATGCAAAGGACAATATGGTCTTGGCCTATAAAATCCTATACGGCTCCGGCCCAGCTTATTTATCTGAACGTATCTCTCTCTACGTTTCACCTCGTAATTTAAGATCTACTGGGGAGGCCCTGCTCTCGGTCCACCAGCGTCTCAAACGCGTCTGGTGGGGATGAGGGACAGGGCCTTCTCGGTGGTGACCCCCCGCTTATGGAATTCGCTCCCCAGCGAGATTAGATCAGCGTCCTCCTTCCTTACTTTTAGGAAAAAACTAAAGACATGGTTTTGGAGCCAGGTCTTTGGCTAGTGGGCACAGCAGCACTTTAGGCACTGAACTTGGACAATAGGATTGTTTGAAAATTGGAAATGGCTTTATGACCTGTGATTATGTGATTTGTTCTATGTGATTATGTAATTTTAATTAATATCACTGTTTAATTGTTATGTAATGGATTTTATATTGCTGTTTTATATTGTTGTTTTGATACTGTTGGCATTGAATTGTTGCCCGTTTTAGCCACCCTGAGTCCCCCCTCAGGGTTGAGAAGGGCGGGGTGGAAATGGTCTAAATAAATAAATAAATAAATAACATTTATTTAGATTATATTTAGCATGGGGATGGTGCAAAGAACAATATTCAGCACTCTGATACACACAGGCACATATACATAGGTGTAATTTGGCACTGCCAATATGTATGTCACTAACAGAATCTCAAATTTGATTTTCTTAAAATTGGAATCAGTCTCTTTAACTATTCAAATATGCAGGCCAGTTTAGCACAGGGGAAGGAAGCATCTTTGGGAGTCTTTTTGGCTGAAGAGTGCGATATAAATAAATACACACATACATAAAAACCCTACAACTTTCCAGGGGCCCATCCAGACAGGCCCTATATCCCAGGATCTGGTCCCAGGTTTTCTGCATTAAACTGGATTATATGAGTCCCCACTGCCTGATAATCTGGGATAAACAGAAAACCTGGGTTCAGATCCTGGGGTATAGGGCCTGTCTGGAAGGTCCCCTAGTGAGATGGGACTGCAATTCTCAGCATATCTCACTATTTGCTATGCTTGAAGGTATTATCCAACAGCCACTGGATGGCTGCAGGATTCCCACTCTTACTTTAGCAAAGAGCTGCTGTCTGCAGTGGAGTCTTTTATTATCTTTCCCGCCTGCCTACTCAATGCTACAACAGATCCATCATGAATCATTTGGGATGGTAGGCCAAGGTTAGTTAATTTTTGGCTCAGAAGCGCAGTGGGCATTTGCTTACTAGGAACTATATTGTCACTCATCATCATCATCCTGTTTTCCCCTTGGTTTCCTTTATAGTCTGACTTTCAAAGCTTGAAAGTGACCCTGATGAGTGGAATGGGCTGCTTTCATCTTCCTAAGCATGAGCAAGGCAGGCGGGTTTTTCTATTTGGGAAGTATGCTTCTGTCCCAAAAGAGGACTGGAATTATTCATACTGAAGAGGACATTGAAAAAGAGAAAGCATGAGTCAATTGTGGTCTCTTTTAAGAATGAAGTTTCTTAACCAAAGGGATGTGAACCAACAGTCTGGTGGATATAAACCTTTGACTTTAGCTAAAACTTTAACAACTCAATTTTCACTGAAGTTTGCACACTCATCTTCTCTCTGGGGGCTACAACTTGGCTTGGCTTACGTTACTATAAAAGGATCCATGAACACTAATGATGCTAAATAAACTATGACTAATGAGAATACCAGATTACTTCTGCTCACAGAACTCATGTCACTTTGGAAGATTGGGGGATTTCGTATTTCAGACTGAGTCTGTTTCAGAGCTCAACATTGCCCCAAGCATACACGCAGAATTAACTTGAGTCCCAGGATTCAATTGAATATTGCTATGGTAATTAAAGTGGAATCGTAGTGCTACAACTGTGTAGTGTGAAAGGGTATTTACCTGAGAAGAGACCAAATGGCTTTACTTCCTGGAATGAGTCTTATACTTTGTTTTTTAATTCCTAGATGCCATTCAGGGTACCATGGGGAGAGATGCCATGCCTTTAGTCTTCCGGTGGAAAAACACCCCCACAGTTACGACCACACAACTATACTAGCAGTCACGGCAGTTGTGCTGTCATCCCTGTGTCTTATCATCATTGCTGCATTACTGATGCTCAGGTAAGCTATTTGGTGTGGTGGAAAGCTGAGGTGTAGGTGTACCATAATCTGGAAATGCAGGCTCCATAAGAAGACTGCAGTCTTGAAAAGAGGATTAGAAATATATTAAATACATAAGAATTGTAGCATTTAAATATTAGTCTATCCCAGTAGTTCTCAACCTGTAGATTCCCAGGTGTTTTGGCCTACAACTCAGTTTACCTGTCTGAACGCATCTCCCTGTGGAAACTAAGATCTTCTGGGGAGGCCCTGCTCTCAGTCCCACCACCATAACAGGTGTGTTTGGTGGGGACGAGAGACAGGGCCTTCTCGGTGATTGCCCCCCCAATTATGGAACTCCCTTCCTGGCAATATTAGATCAGCCCCCTCTCTCCTGTCCTTCAGAAGGATGGTGAAGATCTGGCTGTGGAACCAAGCCTTTGGGGCAGTGCAATGAGGCAAAATTGTGTCCTGAGGTGGTTTTTAAGCAACTTTTAATTTGAATATAAGTGATTTTAGTGTTTGTATATATTTATGGTTTTATGTCCCGACATTGAATGTTTGCCGTTTATATGTTGTGCTCCACCCTTCGTTCCCTGCGGGGTGAGAAGGGCGGAATATAAATGTTTTAAATAAATAAATAAATAAACTCCCAGAAATCCCAACCAGTTTACCAGCTGTTAGGATTTTTGGGAGTTGAAGACCAAAACATCTGTGGACCTACAAGTTGAGAACCACTGATCTGCCCCTTCTTCTGAGGAGTTCAGAATGACATAGGCCAGATTCCCGATAGCTTCTCTCCCAAGGCACTGCCAGGATTAGATTTCCTTAATTTCTGTAGTAAAATAGTGACACATCTCAATACTGTAAGCAAGGAATGGAACTTGGCAGATCTCTTACTAAGTCCACCCATAAAGTAACACATTAGGATTTGAACAAAGTTCAGTGCAATCCCTCTGCCCATTTGTCCTTGACTAGTGTTCAGTTGGACTTCTGGATGAGGCAGATGAAGTCCTTGTGGCATCTGTAGTCATCTTTTGGTCTTGCCAGTTGGAGTAGATGGCTTTGAAAATCTCTTCCTGTTCAGTGACTTTGTAGATGGTGTACCAGCCCTTCTATGGTCTTGAACATAGTGCTGAGGGGCTTGGGCTGGAAGCCAACAACTAAAGGACTGAAGTCCAGTTTTAGTCCAAGGTACTCCACGTCTTGTGACTGGTTTCATGCCCAGAAATGCAGGGTTCTCAGTTTCTCATACCAGAAAGGAACAGTAATTCACCTTTTTTTTGCCTAAGGATAGTGTGGTAGCAATGTTGCTTTTCCTACTTAGAGTTCAAGTTCTTCTTCATTTTGAATCTCCTTTTCTTTGGCTTTTCCAGGTGCCACAAACAAGGTGTATATGATGTAGAGAACGAAGAAAAGGTGAAACTGGGCAGCACTAGCAACCATTGAGACATTCTGGAACTGCAAGGTAATCCTTCAAGTGTTGTGTTGACTAGACGAGATTACAATGACTTCTGTCTTTTCCTTGCCCTGAAGCAAAATCTTTTTCTTTTGGTAGGACAAGATAAATTTAGAGATGCTTGTATTTTTGGAAAGGTGTCAGTCCTTGAGAAGAAATGAATATGTTGGATAGTTGTTTTGTTTTGTTTTTTCAGTTTCTGCACTGCATTACTGATCCCATCACCACTCATAACATATTTACTGTGGATTTTGGAGATTACCTTCCAAATGATGTGATCTTCTCTCAGTACCTTTATCCAGTTCTGTATTATTGCTAGTGTCTTTCCTGCTGCATCTATGGCCACTTGTTTGTACCTCTTCTGTAATAGAGACTTCTCCCTCTGAATCACACTTTTGTTTCCACTTTGGATTTGGGGAAGTATTTTTCAGCCTTCTGTCTCCTTTCATGAATACTCCAGATTATAGCGGTTGTGTTCCTTGATAATAGGTGTTTGTTGTCCCACTCTGAGAATGTTATCTTAGTATGGATTTGGGCATAAATGACAAATCTATATAAATAAAAATGTAATGTTCATTTGTGGGATTAACAGAACTCAAAAAAATACTGGAAGGGTTTGGTGGGCATTGACTTTGAGTTTGGAGTTGTAGTTCACCTACATCCAGAGAGCACTGTGGACTCAAACAATGATGGATCTGGACCAAACTTAGCACAAATACTCAATATGCCCAAATGTGAACACTGGTGGAGTTTGGGGGAAATAGACCTTGACATTTGGGAGTTGTAGTTACTGGGATTTATAGTTCACCTACAATCAAAGAGCATTCTGAACCTCACCAAGGAATTGAACCAAACTTGGCACACAGAACTCCCATGACCATCAAAAAATACTGAAAGGGTTTGGTGGGCATTGACCTTGAGTTTTGAAGTTGTAGTTCACCTACATCCAGAGAGCACTGTGGACTCAAACAATGATGGACCTGGACCAAATTTGGCACGAATACTCAATATGCCCAAATGTGAACACTGGTGGAGTTTGGGGAAATAGAATCTTGACATTTGGGAGTTGTCGTTGCTGGGATTTATAGTTCACCTACAATCACAGAGCATTCTGAACCCCACCAACGATAGAATTGGGCCAAACCTCCCACACAGAACCCCCATGTGGGTCACAGCAACGCATGGCAGGGGACGGCTACTTATGAATAAAATAGTTTCTCAAGCCAATCTTTTTACAATATTTCCTTAATCAAGATAAAGTCTCCAGGAAGAATATATAATTCCATAGGCTGAGAAGACCTGCAAGGATTTAACAAATAGTCATACTTGCCAAATGCTCTTGGGGCCCTTCCACACAGCCATATAACCCAGAATATTAAGGCAGAAAATCCCACAATATTTGCTTTGAACTGGGTTATCAGAGTCCACACTGCCATATATTCCAGTTCAAAGCACAAAACATGGGATTTTTTTGAATGTGTGGAAGGGGCCTCAGATTCCATGGCAATGCCCTATCTTAGACCTCTGTTTACTCTGCTTGAATCCTAGTGGCTCAGACTTCAACACAGTTATGTAGAGATACTTGCATTAACAATAAGAGTAAGAATAGAATGTTTCCCAAGGTTATGGAAATAAAAACTTTTTAAATTTGAATTTTGTACACATTTGTGTAGTGCATATTGTGTAGTGTTATGCAACACATATTTAGATGTGATGTGAACCATCCTTTCCTTATGTTTCAGGATTCAGCAGTGGGAAGACCTACTTCAACAACCCAATGGATAAAGCTCATTTTCTGGGACACATGTCAAAGTTGAAAGGGGCGCTTGTGTGAGTGGAAGGAAGTGCTCTTTTCCCAAGGGGATAATGACAGTTATTTGCTTTGTTGAAAAAGCAATTTGCCGTCCCCAAATTGGAAGAATTTTCCAAACAAATCTGAGAGAGACACTTCTCTGCAGAAGGTGCATCCCTGATGCGGAGCCACAGATTTCGGAGAAAAGTTGGACTTTGCCTTGGCACCGTTTGAAAGTGATATCTTCACAAGCAAAGAAACCACAAACCTGCAAACTGGATTCTACAAGCACCTGCTGAGGATATAACTGTGAAAGACTTTCAATCTGCTGAAGAAGTCTAATTTTCAACTTAATTAAATGGAGGAAAATATTTAACAAATATTTCATTTTAAATTATATATTTATTTTAGATACGTTGTATATATTATTTATTTAGGGGTTGATCCTGTCTGAAGTCTGAGACAGGAAGATTGTGCAGTGTAACATCCTAATAAATAACCCTTTGTTATACTTGCTGTTACATGAAAACTAATTTTGGGGTGCATGGATTAAAATAGCTGAAAAGCGAGAATTTCTAATAACACTTCCTTATAATGTCTTATGTTTGTGCAGTGTTCTCATGGAGACACTTATGTTTTGTGGGCCGAATTCTGGACTATTTCCCAGGGTAAATCTGTCACAGCTGGAGATAACTTTTGATTTTGCTTAGAGGTTGCCTTGAATCAGTTTAGCAGTCTGGTTGCAAACCACAGAATGTTTCCTTCTAATTTAAGATGAACCACGCAAGTTTTGTATCCAGTGTTTCTGACTAATTTCTATGGTAAAGTATGATGCCCTAACCATGTTGAATTCTGCACTATCCTTTTTTTTCTAAGCATATAATTTTGTCAGTAGGCACGGCAGGGAAAATAGCAACAGCTGCACTTGCTGAATTTTAAGCACATTTTCCACTATGGTGGCAAAGCTGGGTTGATCCCAAACCACTCCAACCTGCAGGGTTTTTTTTTTTATTGTGTCAGAAGCGACTTGAGAACATACTGCAAGTTGCTTCTGGTGTGAGAGAATAGGCCATCTATAGCAGGGGTCCTCAAACTTTTTAAACCGGGGGCCAGTTCACTGTCCCTCAGACCGTTGGAGGGCCGGACTATAGTTTTTTTTAAAATCAATTAAAAAATTCCTATGCACATTGCACATATCTTATTTTGCTGTGTGGAAGGGCCCTTAGAGGGGGTTCTTTCTAGCCCTCTTTAGGCAGTAATTCCAGGAGCAGAGAATGGGAAATCTTCCTATTTCTAGTCTGAACAAAATCTGGCTACCAGTATTTAAAAAACTCTAAAATTATAACTGTAAATAAAGAACAACACTCAAACACAGGGGAACTCCAGACAAGAAACAATCAGGGCCAGCTAATCACCTCTCAACAAAGGATTCTCCCTAAAAACTGTCAGGCTATGAAATGGTAATCAAGGTGGCCAATTGAAACATTCATACCTACTTCCAACAGACAAGAGTTCTTTCTCCCACCCTGGATCTTCCACAATTTTCCTAGTTAAAGGTTTTCCTCAGGCATGAAGTCCAGTCGTGTCTGACTCTGGGGTGTGGTGCTCATCTGCATTTCTAAGTCGAAGAGCCGGCATTGTCCGTAGACCTCCAAGGTCATGTGGCCGGCATGACTGCATGGAGCGCTGGGGCAGCCTCCCTTGGCTGGCTCACGCTGCCCATCGGGCCCGATGGGCAGTGTGAGCCTGCCAAGGGAGGAGCAGCCCCGCGCGGCCTACTTGCGCGTAAAAGCACCTCGCGAGGTGCTTTATGCGCAAGTAGGCCATGCGGAGCAGCTGTCCTTGGCTGGCTCACGCTGCCCATCGGGCCTGATGGATAGCGTGAGCCAGCCAAGGGAGGGGCACTGTGTGTGGGGGGGGGCGCTCCTCATCCGCAGGCTGGATAAGTGCCCTTGACAGGCCGGAAGTGGCCCGCGGGCCGTAGTTTGGGGACCCCTGGTCTATAGAGACATTGCCCAGGGATGCCTGAATGTGTTACCATCCTGCTGGAAGACTTTTCTCCTATCCCCACAAGCTAGAGCTGACTAGACGGGAGCTCACCCCATCTCGCAGATTTGAATTGGCAACCTTCAGGTCAGCAGTCCAGCTGGCACAAGAGTTTAACCCATTGCGCCACCACAGCTCTTAACCCAATGTGGATTGTCTGTTTTGATAATCTGGATTATATGGCAGTGTAGAGGGGGGATATGTTTCCATTGTGAGGAATGTACTTTGTTAATAGAAAGGAACATTTCTTAATGTTTAACCTGCAGGTGAGGTTAACATTAATACATATTTATTTATTTCGCATATTTGTACCCTGCCCTTCTCAACCCCCGGGGGGGGGGGGGACTCAGGGTGGCTTCCAGCCAACAATAATTCGATGCCTCCATGTACACGTAATAAAATACAAAAGCAGATACAATYATTATATATAGTTAAAAACATTGAGTCAATACAATTACAATCTACTAAAATATACCAGTCTGGTGGCCATTATCTAGCCGAATTCTGTAGTTGGAGACTCCATAAAGCTTGTCCATAGTCCATTACCATAGTAATTGTCATCATTGTGATTGTCATAATCTGCATAGGCCTGGTCCCACACCCACATTTTAACTTCTTTCTAAAGGAGAGGAGGGATGAAGATAACCTAATTTCTCTGGGGAGCAAATTCCACAGGCGGGGGGCCACCACCAAGAAGGCCCTGTCAGTCCACCCCGCCAAGCACATTTGTAACAGAGGCAGGGCCAAGAGCAGGGCCTCCCCAGAAGATCTTAAACTCCTAGGTGGGATGTAGAAGGAGATACATTCAGACAGGTACACTGGGCCAGAACCATATAGGGTTTTATAGGTCAAAACCAGCACTTTGAATTGTGCTCAGAACTGGATCAGCAGCCAGTGGAGCTGACATATATTCCTTTCTATGTAAAATATGCATTCCTCAAAATGGAAACCTAGCCCCTTTTTACACTACCATATAATCCAGATTATCAAAGTAGATAATCTACACTGCCATATAATCCAATCCAAAGCAGATCGTCTGGATTTTAGATGTGTAGAAGGGGCCCTAAATAGTAAGGGAAGCATTGTAGCCTAATCCTTTTTTGTGTACTGCTTTTTTTAATATTTTAAGGAATGAACACATACACATTCAAGACTGAATTCCTAGACACAGCTCTCACAAGCTAAATGAGAAGTAGACCTTTATCTTGTGTACCACAAATATTGTTTAACTCAAGCTTCTAGAATAGGAGATGACTCCCAATAACTGAATGCAATGCATTTTCTTGAAAGGGAAATGGATGTGAGTGGGGTGTGCATTAAACAGACATTTATCTGAGATTCTGTTATGAACAGCTCTTGAATGGTTTGACGTCATATAAAAATATACTTGTTGACTTTTTAAAAAGCATTGCTCATTCTCCCTAGAGCAACAGCATTCTGCAGAGAGAAGCTGTTGGCAGCCTTTCCATGTCAGATTTGGGGTGGGGACGCCAGAACATCAATGAGATGACTGTAGAGGAACCACCAGCCCCCTTGGGAGTCACTCCCAAAGGAAAATAAACAGGATCTGGGCCTCCTTAATAGTTTGGTTGGAAAAGTTGACTGGTGCTGCTAGAGTACTAGAGTCTGCTCTTGAAATAACCAACCTGCCAGAAACACTCTCATCTTTCTTCCTCCGCAGAGTTGAGCTATACTATTGATTTGATTATTTGAGATGGCACAGTGGGTTAAAGCCCTGTGCCAGCAGGACTGAAGACCGACAGGTCACAGGTTCGAATCTGGGGAGAGGCGCATGAGCTCCCTCTATCAGCTCCAGCTCCTCATGCAGGAACATGAGAGAAGCCTCCCACAAGGATGATAAAACATCAAATCATCCGTGCGTCCCCTGTGCAACGTCCTTGCAGACGGCCAATTCTCTCACAACAGGAGCGACTTGCAGTTTCTCAGGTCGCTCCTGACATGACAAAAAAAAATTATTTGAGATACAAAATTTGACTAAAAATGATTAAAAAGGACAAATTTATTTACCCGTATATTCCAGCATATAAGACGACTGGGTGTATAAGACGACCCCCAACTTTTCCAGTTAAAATATAGAGTTAAGACGACTCCCATGCATAAGACTACAGCCGCGTATAAGACGACCCCTGACTTTTGAGAAGATTTTCTTGGGTTAAAAAGTAGTCTTATACGCCAGAATATACTGTATTTATTTATTTACTATATTTGTATACCGCTCTTTTCAGCCCTTGGGCGACTCAGAGCGGTTAACAATAGCAAAATTCAATGCTCAGAAACATCATAAAACAGTTAAAAACAAAGCAGCAGCATACAGTTAATATAAATCAATAAAAATTGCTATTGCATTGGAAGCTCAGCAAGGTCCAAGGAAGTCTAAATTTTCTTAGGAAGGAATTCCACAATTGAGGTATTGACACAGAGGAAGCTCATCATAAATCCAAAGAGATAATTCTGGTCCTTTTAAATAAGAAAGTCAGCAAAAAAATTCCTAAATTTGGAGTTTTAAAGATTCATCAACCTTGTCTTTTGGGTTTAAAAGACATCCAACAGAAACCTAGCTGAAGATCTGCCATTCTGGTCTGGCTCAAGTAGAAATCTTTTCAGGTAACCTAGCCTGTCAGTAAAGTTGAAGACTTATAATTTATTAAGAGGACAAGAAATCTTCCATATGTTGAGCATGTAAAAAAAGATTAAACACTATTTTTCCCTAGGGATAAAGGGGTGCATTTTGAATGCTAATGAAGTATGTTTCTCCATAATAAAAAGTGTGTGTTCTCTATTGGGCATTTAGATAAATTTTAATTAGAAAATAAGGTCAACAGGATGGAAATAGGATTAGCGAAGAGAATGCCTTCTGATCTTCACCTTAAGTCTTCTCGAAAATGAAAGAAGATTCCTCCCTCAACTTTTAAGCTACAGCTCTTCATTTAACTGACTGTTGACAAAACAGTGTTGGTCATTGGATCCTACTAATAGTGTCTCTTAACAATGTACTAAGTAGTGCTCCTCAGCCTGTGGGTCCCTAGATGTTTTGGTCTTCAACTTCCAGAAATCCTAACATCTGGTAAACTGTCTGGGTTTTCTGGGAGTTGTAGGCCAAAACACCTAGGGACCCGCAGGTTGAGAACCACTGCACTAAATTATTTGCAGGCAAGGTAGGAGGCTTGGTACTGAATTCCCCTAACCCTGGGGAGTCCTCAATCTAAGGTCATTTACCTTCCAAGGCCCTCCAAGGTCATTTACATGGTCCGCGCTTAAGGTCAACCTAAGTCTGAAATGACTTGAAAGCACACAACAACAACAGCAGCAGCAGCAGCAATCTTATTTCATCATCCAAAAGCAGACCCACACTTCCCATTGAAATACTAATAAGTTTATGTTTGTTAAAATTGTTCTTCATTTTAATTATTGTATTGTTTTAAAGTGTTTTTTACACTACAAATAAGACATGTGCAGTGTGCATAGGAATTCATTCATGCTTTTTTTCAAATTACAATCCGGTCCTCCGACAGTTTGA